CTGTACTAACAAAACACCAATAGATCGGTCAGATGCTATAATGAAAGGTGAAAAACCTTAGATTACCCTCATATAAGATGCATAGAGTGGCAAAACAAAAAAAATAAGGCATTTATCGAACTTAATCAATTCAATTTTTTCATACTGACCATTTCAGAATCTTGAATCTGTAATTTTCTCCCTACAGAGAACTCGACGACCATTACCTAAATCCTCCAACCTAATTGTACAGATGTCTTAAGTATCAACAAACTCAAAGCTAAGCCAAAGATCAAGATTCCGCTGGCGTTAACCAGCAACCTGTCCACTAATCCTCTGTTCATCTCCTTCTCTGTTATTTCTCTCTCAATCACTGACGCAATCTCCTGCAGGCTGTCCTCTCCTTGGATTTTCATCTTGATGTGAAGTATCTGCGCAAGTTCCTTGGCGCTGAAGTCACTGAAATTGAAAATTTTGTGACCCTTCTGCAAAACCCTTCGTCAGATGCAATCACACGATGGAATGGCCCTTCTCCTTATTAGAGTGGAACAAGACAAGGAGATGTGAAGGCCAAACAAAGGAAGTGAAGGCCAAACATCTCTACACCAATTTGAAGAAGAAGAATCTATTCAAAGCCATGATCATATTTGTTGACATGAAGGAGTTACTAAGATAAGAAGAGATGACCAGTGGTACAAGCTTGACCATATGGTCAACTACAAATAAGATGACCATTAGTGCAAGCGTGACCATGACGGTGGTACAAGCTTGACCATATGGTCAACTTCAAATACGATGACCATTAGTGCAAAGCGTGACCATGATGGAAGGAGACCTTGACCATATGAGTAAATTCAAATGTACTACTTCTGCCCTTTCCCACGTGCATTTGACCGCTGCGTGAGTAGTCACTATCCCTCGGCAAGACAAACATTATTTATTCTTCACTTGTGTACCAACTTGTATTATTTTAATTATTATTTTTATCTTAGGAATCTTGCCTATTTATTGTGTTGTAAGGCACACAGATTTAATTAAGGAAAACATTTCCTCACTTTACTCTCTTCCTCCTTTACGGATTCACTCTCACTCTCCCACTTGTTCTTTCACTTGTTCATCAGTGTTATTCATTTTCTCTTTCAAATCTCACAGCCACTTAATCTCTCTAGATTCAGATGGTTGTGTAGATTATTTTGCTGAGAGGATTCAATCACAAGTTGATTGTCTCTTCCATTATTAAAGAGTGAGTTCATGTTTTAAACTATTCTTAGCTTTTCCAACTGGTATCAGAGCTTTGTTGCTCTTCTTGGGCTGAACTCACTTCAATTTCGATTTTTTCTTTATCTGAATCTCTTTGTCTCACGTTGAAATTTTTTTTGAGGAGCTGTGTGGCTAGGATTAAAAACTTGAGCAGAAGAGAGTTTAGATAAAGTATGAGTTTAAAATCTGTGTTTTGGTTCAAGATACAAGCTTTTATAAAAGTTTTTTTTTTTAAATCAGTGACTCTCCCCTTGATCTCCTCATTGATTAAGCTTTTGGATGAAAGAATGAAATCTGTTCATACCAGCTTGAGGGAGGGAGAAAATATTATACTTGTGTCTTGGAAAAACACTTGAATTGACTTTTTTTTAAAAAATGTATGTGTTTTTCATCTTGTCTAACGACTTCTTTTAAGAGGACAAGATGAAGTTCGGTTTTGGTTGTTCCTCTCTCCTATGTGTAAGCATTGGTCATGATCCTGAGTTGGGATTATAAGAACAAAGCCTAAGGGAGGGCAATGAAACAAAAGACTTCATCTGTTTTGGTTTAAAATCGATTTTTTTACAAAGATGAAGTTCTTTCTCTTTAAAACAGTATCAGTCTTTTATCCCCTTTGTCTCTCATTTTTATTTTCAAACTTGGTAAAAGACTTTGAGTCTAGTCAAACCAATGCTTGAGGGAGGGAGAGAGACTGATGGTGAATTGATGAAAATTGATTTGCAAGAGCATTTGAGTTTCAGATTTAAAGAAAAGCTCTTTGAAGGGGATTTGTTTTTGAAAGAGATTTGTCTTAGAAAAATTTCTGCCTTTGAACATTTTTTTTTAGAAGAATATTCCAGAGAAATTGAAAATTATTTTTCAGTATCTTTGCTTGGTTGTTACAAGCTTGGAAATATTTTAGAAATTGATTTCCCCTTATGCAAATGTTTTTGAAAAAAAAAAATTTCTAAAAATCTGGAAAGTAATTTTTAAAATTATTGTGATAAGTTCTTGATGAACTCTTGGTTTAGTAAAGCCATTTTAAAAGGTTTAAATCCTTAGAAAAGTGTTTTATAAATTGATTTTTAAGATTTCTTTGGAAGAAAGATTTTCAAACCACTTGTGAAAAAAAAAAAAAAAGTTTTTCTTCTCTTGGCCTTTATGGTCTTTGAACTTGGTTGATGGACAAAGAATTGTGTTCCAATGACTCTTGTTCTCTTCTCCAGAAATCACCTTTGTGTGATCTAATCCCGTAATGAGGTATTGTTGTTGTTAAGGTTGCAGGAGTCTCTTGAAGGGAGCATGTCCTTGCATCCATGAAATAAAAGACTGGTTAAGAAGTTATTGCCTCTCCCGAATTGTTGATCAACCATGAACGCCTTAGGGCTGTGGTTTGATGTTTTGATCAGCCATGAAGCTTGAAGGCCATGGACTGAAAATTGCTTCCGCAAAACTGTCATTCTCCTCCATACTCTTACTCTCTATTATAATCTCATACTCCAATATACTCTGGTTACTCCTAACACTCTTAATACTTTGGTTACTTATACTCTCAGTCTTGTTTTCGTATGCTCACAATCTCTAGTTAATTAATCTCTCACATTTTACAATGATCATTCACTCTCGGTTAATGCATTCTTGCTTTCTCCTTTGGCACTTTTGGAACTTCCACAAGCGTGAGTGTGCCCTCACTAGGAAGTTCCACCACTGATTTTGGCTTTGATTTTCTAAGTTCACAGATTCAAATGATTGATATGATGATAGTTTCATTAAGACATGAAGTTAAATGTGTGGGCACAGAACATATCTGAAGTTAGAACCGATTGCCCCAGCTTGAAGAACCTGGTGTGAAGAGTCTGGTGGAAAGCGATGGATCAGCTTGACAGAAGGAGTCTGTTGCCTGGAGGTGCAAGCGCATACTGTAGTTAGAACCAATGGAGACCTTTTGGGTGGAAGTTGATGGATCAGCCCAGATGTGGCTGGTTCTCTCCCTGTTTGATCATGGACCACTCCATTGATTCACTTGACGGTTCTAAAGGTGTTCAGAACCGCAGACAGTCCATTCAAAGGACAAGTCATATGCCAATCATCAATAAAAGGCTGTTTCTAAACTCTACTCTCATTCCATTATTCTTTCGATTAACTCATTGCAATCCCATTTGCTATATTGCTATCTATGGATTCTTAATTGTTGCTTTAGAACTTTGATATTCCTCATTTGGTTAAGTTAAGCTTCTCTTTGATATTCCTTATGGCAAAACTTAATTTCTTCTTCTTTATCACTTGTTTAAGGGTAAAGGAGACCATAAGAGCCTCAAAGAGACCAATGATGAAGCATCAAGAAGACACAGCCATGGAGCAGTGTGTACTTCTGTTTTGTGTTAAAGAAAGAGATGTTGCACAAAGTCAGAACATGGTGCCAACACCCTCAGAAATCAGTTCAGATCATGGCTCAAGACATGAGTCCTTTTGGCGGTTCAAAGACAAGTTCAAGCCGCATTCATATTATAGATCAAAGAAGCTTCAAGCTCAAATCAATAGCCAAGGTGATAGCTATCCAAATGCACCGCAAAGGCTATACTCTTTTTGCCCTCCTCATGGTTTTATCCCAAGGGGTTTTACATGGTGAGGTTTTTAATGAGGTAGTCATTTGCGTGTTGTAAGCTTGGCCTTTGGAACCAATGGCTTCCGCAGCCCAACCTTGAGGGAGGGTATTAGAGTGGAGCAAGACAAGGAGATGTGAAGGCCAAATAAAGGAAGTGAAGGCCAAACATCTCTACACCAATCTGAAAAAGAAGAATCTATTCAAAGCCATGATCATATTTGTTGACATGAAGGAGTTACTAAGATAAGAAGAGATGACCGGTGGTACAAGCTTGACCATATGGTCAACTACAAATAAGATGACCATTAGTGCAAGCGTGACCATGACGGTAGTACAAGCTTGACCATATGGTCAACTTCAAATACGATGACCATTAGTGCAAAGCGTGACCATGATGGACAGAGACCTTGACCATATGAGTAAATTCAAATGTACTACTTCTGTCTTTTCCCACGTGCATTTGACCGTTGCGTGAGTAGTCACTATCCCTCGGCAAGACAAACTTTATTTATTCTTCACTTGTGTACCAACTTGTATTATTTTAATTATTTTTTTATCTTAGGCATCTTGCCTATTTATTGTGTTGTAAGACACACAGATTTAATTAAGGAAAACATTTCCTCACTTTACTCTCTTCCTCCTTTACGAATTCACTCTCACTCTCCCACTTGTTCTTTCACTTGTTCATCAGTGTTATTAATTTTCTCTTTCAAATCTCACAGCCACTTAATCTCTCTAGATTCAGATGGTTGTGTAGATTATTTTGCTGAAAGGATTCAATCACAAGTTGATTGTCTCTTCCATTCTTAAACAGTGAGTTCATGTTCTAAGCTGTTCTTAGCCTTGTACCACCGGTCATCTCTTCTTATCTTAGAACTCCTTCATGTCAACAAATATGATCATGGCTTTGAATAGATTCTTCTTCTTCAGATTGGTGTAGAGATGTTTGGCCTTCACTTCCTTTGTTTGGCCTTCACATCTCCTTGTCTTGCTCCACTCTAATACTCCTCTCATCTAAAAGCACTCCTTTAGCCCACTTCCTCAATTGTGTCTTCATCTCGCTAGTTCAAAAATGTTTGACAACTCTTGCTCAAGTAGATCTATCTTGGCTTTTTTCTTACCACATGCCTCAAGAACGCTTATTTTCCTTTGCTCTAGGAGAAACCAACGCATTACTTCATGTAACTTCTCGCTGCTCTGTCCTAGAGGTAGATGATCCAAAAGGAGTGATCCCTTCCTGGAAATGCAAAGCTTATTACATGAAACTGAACCAACAAGTTAAGAAGAGGTTCACTACATTATCTTTTGGGCTGCCATACGATTCATACCGCAAAATGCAATGGTGTCATACCATTCTGCATAAACCAAACCAGATCAACTAAAGCTATTGTCCTTAGATGTTTTATCCACACTTAAACTAGAGAGAGAGGAAAATACGCTGGCTTGGATAAAAGCTCCACGGTCAAGGAGAAGCTTGGCAGCTTCATTGCAGCCGTTCCTGGCAGCCATGTGCAATGGGGTTTCACCATACTGAAGAACAGAGACCAGCACATGTAAGTAACATAGATAAATGCAAAACCAAAAGCTCTGGAAAAGTAAGCTCAAAAGCTTACGGTGTTCATAGCTTCCAGCTCAACTTTGTCGGATTTCGGCCAGTCTAAGAGATACTTGACAATATCAGCACTGCCATTACTAGCAGAAACATGTCGTGGCTGTGATACATCTGCCACATTCCAGTTCAGTCGATATAAGCAAAAAAAACAAAAAAGAGAATGGAATTTTTCTTATATGACATTATTAATATATAGTGACAAGTCCTATATATTTAATTTGTTGTTAATTTTCATTGTATACAATAAATTTTTAAATTTTATTTAGTTATACAATAAAAATGATATTTGTTGGGTAATTTATATTTCGATGTTGTATTTGAAAACAAACTTCAACATCTATCATTTTAAAATTTTGTGGGATTTTATAAGTAAATACATTGTTCTTTTTAAATAATATAGCCATATTATTTTAGTAAATTTTACATAAAATATCATCTATCATATTATTTTAGTAAATTTTATTGATATAAGATATCTTTTGATGTTACGGAATTAATATTTATTTTAATTTTTGTCATTAAATTAATATTGCAAAATATTATATTACTTTTTATTTTTAAAATATAATTTATTTTTTTGTATTGCATTTCAAAAATTATACTTTAGAATATCTAATTTTATCTCTTGTAAAATTTGCAGTATTATCATTTTTCGTTTGGAGTATTTGTTTCAGAATTGTATATTTTGTTAATAAAAGTTTGAAAAATCAAAAACTATTTTGAATTTGGGAGATTTTTTGACTTTGTGATTTTTTCGGTACTAAATTAATTCATTATTTTGTAAAACAATATTTCAATTTTTCGTAAGATTTTTTTATATTCTTTTCAAACGATTTTGTTATAATTAAAGTAAACATTAAATTTACAACTAAAATTGATTTTTAATCAATATATTTAGTGAATTATCAAATTTTCAAAGTTTCTAATAGCATATTTTGTAAATATTACATGAACTAAAGGTTAGTTATTTACTATTATATTTTGTATATAAGTATTTATATATTATATTTTTATGATTTCAAAATAAATAAATAAATAATATATATTTGCAATAAAAAATTAATAGGGTAATAATTTTACTTTTTTGTATAAAAATATTACTTAGTTTATGAACTTGAACCCGTTTTAACGGTGACCAATAAATAGTTATTTAAACAAAATCATTTAAAATAAAATAGATTAATTTACCAAATTTAATATAACTTTATCATATTTAATTCCTATAATAATTATTTTTAATATAATATATACTATTATTATAAAGTTATAAAATAAAATATTTTGCAATAAAAAATTTTAATTAAGATTAATTAAAAAATATCTAAACTTTGTTTATTTTAATAAAAATAAAAATAGGTTCCAAATGAAATTTGGAAAATCTCTAAAATTTATAGAAAATTCTAATTTCATTTTTTGTTTGAGAAATAAAATTAAATAATTTTTTATAATCTTAAATTTTGTAATATTTTGTAAACGTTTTAAATATTGAATTTATTTTTTCTTCTAAAATTAAAAAATAACATTCTCTTCGAAATACATTTTTTAAAAAACCTTTTAAATCTTCTCAAGAGTTTATTTACCTTCTTTCTTAAATCTTCAATTAAAATTAGAAATTTTAACTATTTTTCTTAGAGATTTTTTTTTTAATTTAGTTTAAAATTTATTAGTATTGTTAATTAGAGTAGACAAAGTCTGGGTATTAAACGGGCACAGTTATAAATTTTTTGTATTAAATTGGATAAAACATTTAGTTAAGATATTAAAATGGGTAGCGAAAAAGTTCGGGTATTAAAAATTTAAAAAAAAAATTAATTGAGAGACTTTTATGAAATTTTCCCTACGAAATATTTTAATGCATTGTTTCATAAAAAATATTTAAAATTTTTAGTATGATTTTGTTAGACTTTTCTCAACAAATTTTATTATATTAAAAATAAATTTCAAATTTATTTATTATTAATATCTTTATTGATTATTATTGTTTTAAAAAAATGTTATATATTTGATTGATTAATGTAAATAACCAAATATATCATATTAAGTAATTGATAGCATAAATTTATTCAAAGATGTATTTAGATTTCTTTGGGATGATTTATAAATGTGAACCGCATTTAATATTACTAGCTGCATAACCCCCGCGCAAGCGCGGAGCCGAGATCTGTGTTTTTTCCGGTTGTTAGTTTAGTGTATTATTCTAATAATACCAAATAATGATGAAATGGAAAGAATGTAGCAAGAGTGTAAAGTGAAAATATTGTGTATGTAATGTGTTAAATGTTATTTATATGCGAAATAAGGTTTATAGGAATAACTAAATTATAATATAGTTTTTAGTGTATAAAAATAGGTGTCTATATTTTTTTTTTAGGTTGGAAATAGTTTTTATATCGGATGTCAAAACTTGATATAAATATTTATTTATAGTATTTATATTTGTATTAAACGATTTATCAATTTGAAAGTAACTTTAATTTAAGCTAATATTTGTTGTTTGGGTTTTAATAGATAGGTTTGGATATGTTTTTTTTGTAAGTTTGGATTTTGCTCATGAATAATGTGGTATTTTTCTTTACGGTGTCATCGACTGTGGAAATCCATCCGCCAGAGTCTGATAAAAATGAAATTATAGTAACTATTAAAAATTGAAGATAAATTACATAGTTATTTTATAAAAAAACAAAAATATTTTATTTTATTTTATTTCACATACATAATTTTTTGAAAATATATATTAGGAAATATGTTCTAACAGTAAAAATATATATTAGGACATGATAGTGCCGCGTGAGACTCGTTTTTCCTTTTTTTTTTTTTTGGCTGTTCGTTTTTTGATCCATTGTTAATTATTTTTGGGTTTAAGTTAATCAAACTTTAGGATTTTTTCACTATTTTGGACTTTAAACAATAAGTCCAGAGGAAAAAAAACATAAAAACATAAAAACTAAAAAGTCCATATGATAATAATCCAAACGAAAAAACTAAAATACAAAACAGCTACACGGTTTGAACCCACACACTTGCAGATTTAATTAGATACCTTATACCACTTTGCTAAAGTATATTCATTGTTCATAGTCATTTTAAAAAAAATTATAAGCTTCTAAAATTTAAACGTGTGGAGCCCACAAACTTGCTGACGTGGACAGTTTTAGGAGCAATAGAAGTGAACTATTATAATATAGATTGAGATATTATACCCCAAGTCATGTGTAACGTTTCCTATGATGCATATGTATCTTTGATAGAGAGTGGAAACTTAAGTAACAAGAAACTGTTACGAAACAATAAAATTCTTGAGCTGTTGATTCACTCAATTCGAACAAAAAGGTCTTTTGATCTTGGTGATACTCTCAACAAGTCAAAATAGGTTTAAAGTACTCATGTAAGTGCTATAAAGCTCTGATTGCAATAGCAAGTTTGATAAATAAAAAAAAAAAAAAAGGTTGGATAAATAATCATAAGGTTGTTTGTACAAAAACCTCAAACATCCTATTTATACCAAACAAAAGAGAACGGAAGCGCATCTCTTCTTCTGCATTTACACAGATTTATATTTTTATATATTAAATCATAAGTCTTTATGCTGTTAAAAAAAAAGAAAAAAAAATCATAATTCACTTGACCAATAAAATTTAGACACGTAAATAATGATTTTCAAAACTAAAAAAACAAAATTATACACTTTTATTGATTTTTAAAATAGTGTTTTAACTGCAAAAAAAAGTTCTTATATTTCTTAAGCACACGTTTACAGAAAAAAGCTTTTAGCAACTTCCATTATCATCTGTTTTATCGCTTACATTCAGTTATCCAAATTTTTATTTATTATATATCTCTCTTTTCTAGACAATTGTATCTTTTTATAGTTTTATTTTAGTTTTAAGTGTGGCAAAGATTATTAAACTCCTTCTTTTTTTACTAAAATATCTTCCATTATATTTTCTGCATGATTCAAGTTGAAGATTTTATCTTAACAAGCTTCTATTTTGTAACTTAAGTTTTCCAAAAATGGAAAAAAATAACAGTTTTGTTTCACAAAATATTATTATTGGAACACGGATTTATTATCAGCATCAAAAGCTATTCTTAAGAAAAAACTAGCCACATATACATTTTAAATTATAATACCTTAATTGTTTAATTAAATGAACTTGATTGTTTAAATATATTTAAATATTATATTTAGATGTTTTATTGGGTTTTTATCTATTTGTTGGAATTCTAACATTAAAAAATTTCAGTTAATTAAGTTCTAATTCATCATAGTTTATTATTTCTTTTGTTTCATTTTGGTCAATAATTAATTGTTTAGTGCATGTTATGTTAACATGAATATGTTTATATTTTAAAGCTATATTATAATATTATATACCATACTTTTATTTGATACCATATATCTTAATTTTCTTTGTAGAAACAAGCTTTCAAAAACATTTATGTTGCATATATGTTTCAAAACAACGTCATAGAAATTGTCTAGCCACTTCTAGGTTTATGCATTAATGTGTTATCCAAGTTAAGAAAATATATAACTAATTATTTATTCATTACAATTTTACGATCACATAATTTAGAAGAGATTAAAATTGATAGGTGCGTAGCACCAGGATAATGCTAGTTTATCTATAAGAATCAAATCTAAACAATTATTTACTTGAAAACAAGTAAAGTCCAATATTGTGTTAAAAAAAAAGTCCAATATACGTTAAAGGTCCAAATATGTATGATACGCTGCATCAATCTTCCATCCCAAAAAAAGTTCCAACCCATTGTTCTGTCATTAGTCATTACACAATCTTGATCAGTTGGTGCAGTTTGTTTTTGTTAATCTCTACAAAACTTAATAAAACAACTTTAAACTGGAAATTTGGAGAGCACACGTTCTTGGCGGAATAACACAGGCGCAAAGTTGGTATGTAGAAAATGCAAATGATCTTCTGGACACACAATTATTGCTAATGGTGAGATTGCCAAAACTAATCTAGCAAAAAGACATGGCAGCAAAGTATTATTCACATATTCTTCATAAAATTCATATTAAAATCAGCGCTTATCCTAAGCGACAGGTTTGATGAATAATGTTGCTTAGGATATTACCAGTGTAAAAAAGAAAATGAATAATGTAAATTCTTGTGTTACAAAAAAAAATGTAAATTCTTTTCTGATACTGTTTTTTTTTTTTAATGATTTTCTCGTTCTCATCCAACAGTAATATCAAAAGCCAAAAAGGTATCTTGATTTACGATACCACAAAATGTTTATGCACGGTTTACAAAAATGTTTATGCATGCTTTACCCTCCAAAGCATAATATAACATTTTTAAACAAATAACATTTGCGTTTACGATAGAATGGACTTCCCGATCAAAAGAGCACTTCTTTATATGATAAAATCAATTTGTTAACCGATGGTTACATCGGTTTATGATTACATCGATTTATGATTATATTGGTATGTCCGGTTACATCAGTTTATGGTTATATCGATATTTGGGGAGTATGTTATATTGGTTTATGGTTACATCGATATTTAGGGAGTAAGTTACTTGGAGAGTAAGTTACTTGTAAAGATAAATATGAGTAGATATCGATAAGGGGAGATCTAATATGTTGTGATCTCATTATAATAAGTATATATATGTAATCTCCACAACGCGAATACAACTCAGAACATTTTCAACTTTAACTTAGAATATTTTTAATTTTTTCTTTCTTAGTTTACAATTTAACTTATTTCCGTGTGTTTTCCTTTTTCTAATTTCTTTGGGTGTTGACACTTGACAGCTTTAGTTGAAAGAAAAAAGACTAAAGATAAGAGAATATTAGAAGGTGAGACCAGCGAATGTCATGCCATTAGTCATGTGCATAATTGGTATACCGAATAATCATATCGTCCCATGTGACAGCCTACTTTCCTATATTATTCCGCAACCCCACACACAAGTTTTGAAATATATTTTACCCAACTCAAAGACTTATGAGATGATTGGTAAGTGATATGATTTTTATTCTTTTTACTTTAGAATAGTAACTGTAGATATTATTGTTGTAGATTTATATATTGCTCTAAAGCATGCGTGATCATTGGTAAGCTTGACTTGAATAAATCATTCCCTATATATATATCCCAACCAAAACATCTCTTATAATACAAGAGAAATTGTAATCAACCAATATGGAAGTGAACTTGACAACAGCAAAAAAAAATTAAGACATCAGACCAAAATTCAAAGCGACAAGATTTTTTATGGGACAAGTTTTTTTTGTTTTGGGATAAAATATTAACGCAATAACGCCATGCACGTTGATTTTATTTCTTAGTGGCTGTGTTGCAGGAAGTAATGTGTGGAAGCTTATGGACACTTTGTTAGCTTGTCTTCTTAAAGGCTTAAGAAATTGGTTCATGTCGCCTATTATGCTTTAACAGCTGAAATCTTGATTGTTTACCCAACATTTGTTGTTGGTTAATCGTGGGTTTTAGAACACCCAACTATTAAGTTAAATAGACTTCTAACATAAAACCAATTGGTGATAAGTAAAATGGTCTATCTAATTTTATATATTGTTTAGTATCCTTTCTAATTACCGATGTGGAATTTTTATCCCTAATATATCTCCTTGAAATGATCGTTTTTTCAACGTCAATCTCGGTACTTTGGACACGGATCGATAATAAATCGGGTTGGGCTGCATGGATCGAGTTCTGATACCATGTTAAGCTAATTGTACTTACAACCTAAAACCAATTGGAGATAATTGGAATAGTTCATTTATCTTATATATTGCTTAGTATCTTCCTACATACTGATGTGGGATATTTGTCCCTAATACTAGTCTGCTATCTAACTTTCTCTGCAACATTTGAAGCCCTGGTATTATTAACGTTGGGGATATTGGAATGAGGATTAAATAAAACTGGAGTTGATGAAGAGACCAACACCAAGAACAAGCAAATCCGGAACAAGCAGATTTGAATCTGTCCGTACAGTCTTGGCTTGCAAGTTACCAAACTTAACCTAGAATGACTTGGGAGACAAGGAAGGTGTGGGACTCATCCAAATTAATATTCTGAAGCATTTTGAAGTTTAAATGAAGCTTCTGACCGTTGGAGAGAGCTTAAGCAAATGAATATTTAATTAGAAGAAGTCACATGTGAAGCTTAGGAGAGAGAGCTGTTGGTGACATGTCACTTTCACTCTTGGAAGTGCTTTCCTTCTCTCTTAATGTCACTTTCTGGACTGTGAATCCGTGTA